CACATGACTTTCACAAGTTTCTCTGCGGATTCGGGCTCCTCTCAGCGAGCGCACTTCAACCCTATCCTCAAAAAAAAATAAAAAAAATTCCTGGTATGTTTTTTGGCTCGTCTGGTTTTGCCGGACGGACCCCTCCCCGTTCGTCTGGCCCGGTCCGTCTGGCCCAGTCCGTCTGGGGCGGACATCGGCTTAACCCAGCTGTTTCCCCCTTTTGTTGTAATACCGATGACAATGCTTTATCTAATGGACGTATGATTTCCTTCTGGTGTTGCATTCTGGCATCAGAACCCCGTTTCTACTGAGGGCATGCCTTCATGGGGTGGTTAGTCCTCAACAGCAGCAGGTCCGGTGGCTGACCCGAAAAAAAAAAGTTGAAACAGAAACTGGGACGCCGGTTGGTGTTTGGATGTGGAGGCAGAGGCTCCGCCTTTGGCTGTTTTTTGCCTTTTCGTATGGCGTCCATGACCACCTGGCTACTTGCCCACACATGGTTAACTGGGGGTGTTTTTTTTTTTGTCGAATTTTGCACAGAAACTATCATATTGCGCTGATTTTTTGCTTTTTTTCTTGGTTTTCTTTGCCTGTGATATGTAGGTGCTTCATGGTATGTCATGTGTCCGGCTCTGACATGTTTGTGTGATGTATCCAGTCTGTAAGATACTCGCCAGATGTCGAAATACAAAGTAACTCAACTCTGAACAATGTCCCCAATAATTATGAATGTGATCTTTGATACAATGTCTCGTTTCCAGTAGACGAAGAGAGTGGAGGGGGAATAGACAGTAGAAGGTGGAAGAGAAAGTAATTATCAATGACCACACAGAGAGTAGCTGTTACATGCTGCGCCTGCACACGCGGGCCATTTTCCAGGCCCTGCGTCCTTCAGGCCGAAAGCCTGAAATCCAGGGCTTACAGGCCCCATGTCGGTTCAGCCCGAAAGGCTGAATTCCAGGGCCTACAGTCCCTGTGTCGTTTCAGACTAAAAATGGCAATAGCCTTTTTAGCCTGAAACGAAGGGCCATTTTCGGTGGTTCATCAGAACGACCGGCCCTGAAACTCAGGCACCGAACCAGGGTTTCAGGAACAGGCTATTCTTAGTCTGTTCCCACGCCAGCCTCAAGCAGCTGCTGCAGCGCCAGCCCCTGGCACACTTCGGCATTGGCAAGAGCAGCCTCCTTGGCCTGGCTCGCCCTTCAGGCAGTCAGGAGGCAGGCCGAGGTAGTACATAGGAACTTCCCATGCACTTCACGAGGCAGGCAGGAGGCAGTTGTAGTCTTCAGAATTCGGGAGCAGCACTCTGGAGGGAGCGCTGCAGGGAGTAGTAGTAGCGTTAGCCTTTAGTCTTCAGCGCTTGTCGCAGTAGGTAGCTGTAGTCTCCAGCGCTGGGCGCCATAGCTAGGATAGCMCTAGAGAGAGAGAGAGATTGGGCGGAGGCCTTGGGTACTCACCTGCAGCGCCGTTGCTCCAGCTTCGTCTTCGAGGTACCTGCAGCACAGCGCCAACATCACAGATTAGTATCTGGCTCGTAACAGAGAGAGAGAGAGTTCTTCTTCTTCCTCTTCTCAGTCCACCATCTCCTTCTCCCCCTCTCATCATCTGACTTCACTGCATCTGCAGACTACGAGAGAAGAGAGACAGAGCTTGGTGACATCGGATCCAGTCTCGACTTTTGGACTTCAGACATTACAACGAGGGATTATTTGGGACTTGTGACAAAGACTTGGTGTTGACAACATTCCCATCTCTCTCCCTCCTTTCGTCTGATTCCCTCCTCTTCGTCTGTGTATGTCTGGACCTGGCGCTTTCTTCCTGTGTACCAGGCTCCTTCACACTTGGTGATGGATACGATGTATGTTTGGTCTGCATTCAAACATTGATTGGGCTAGTCATTAGCATTCTAGTATTCTGCTTTGCTATCTTTTGCTACGTGAATGAGGTCAGTCCCGGTCAGGTCAGGACTTGTATCTAAATCTTCCACTGCGCTATTCAGCACCATTTTGTATGTATGAGAAATGAGAATGCACATTGCTTGTTGAGATTCTACTTGCACTGCATTGTCCATTCAGTCCTTTTATTACATTGCGGATCCTCGGTTATGATGTACATCGCTCATCTGAGCATGTAACAGTAGCCCAAGCTTCCCTCGCCTCCACGTCAGCAAACAGTATCCAGTAATGAGCCTGACAAATCCTGATCACATCGGAAGTGCCACGTGGCACAGTTCTCTCGTGAAGACGTTGGAGACAATCAACAACGCACAGTATCGACATCAACCTCAGGTAAGTATCCCGATCCTCCTCAATCATCCACAGATCCCGATCTCCCTCCTTGTCGCATCCAGTCACCCAATGTAGACAGCGTGGCCAATGCCACATGAGTGATGAAGACAGGTGTCATGCGGCACATCAGCAATGAAGACAGGTGGCATCCGCCACATCAGCAATGAAGACAGGTGGCATGCGCCACATCAGCAATGAAGACATGTGGCATGCACCACATCAGTGGAGGAAGGCGCCAGCATGCTGCCTCAGTCCCGTGTCGTCGTCCACAGTGCCAGCACATGACCAGCGTCCAGCCAGCATCAAACCAGTGTCCGGCTAGCGTCAAGCCAGCGTCAAGGCAGCATATCAAGACTGAATGTTGACCCTTTGGAGGAGGGTCTTATGTAGTGATTGACCGAGTTGACCTGCCTCAGGTCTCCCACCCACGGTGGCCAAGATTGACTCACAGCCGAGCGCCTGGATTGCGTACAGTTGTAGACGTTGCAGACTTTCACTTCGTCTTGATTTTGTCTTGGTACCTGAATACAAACAAGTGTGTGTGTCTGACCGGCGGCCTGGGCTGGGTACATGCATATCTCCACGGAGTTGCTCTGAAATTTGAATTCCATTTGGATTTATGTCTGGCATGCCTCAGTTTGGTGGATAGTACATGATATAATGCACGTGATGAGTGTCCCTTGGACTGGTGGTTGGTATTGTGTTCTTTGTCTTGTCTTGTTTTTGGGGCTGGGGAGCTTGGGCCACCCATCTTCTAGCCATAATTATTCAGCCTTCGCAGTAGCCAATATTGACATTTTCATTTTCCTCTTGGTTTGTTTCTCTCGTTAACAGTACCCGCAATTCATCCAAGAGTCACAGCTTAATATACCCTTTGACTTGGGCATTCCCATCATGAATGACGTGGCATTGACAATTCATCATTGGACTGGTAAGTGAATGCAGGCCTATTTTTCTGAACCCCAACTGTAAGATGATGGTTTTGTATAAACTGTAGTTTCTGAGCGTGTGCATTGTGCTAAAAAGTGGTGCAAGAAACAAAATTGCGAAAGTATCCCCCTTCCTCCTCTACCCGTGGAGCATCATTTTGCGGGGCAGAGTTTGGATGGGCGTTGGCAAGATGCCTAGCACGCAGTTGAGGGATGGGAGTATGGTCTGTGTGCTTGTCGGGGGTGACTGCAGGGTTTGCGAAGGTGGAAGTATCAATGGGGGGACAGACGGGGGCTGCAGTATAGTCGTTGCCCCTGTTGTGGGCGAAAATGATTTCTGAATTCGTTCTAAACTTAGTCAATGAACAAATAAGTGGTGTACCAGCAGTTAAACAACGACACCCGCATTTGTACTCGAGCAGACACTTCGCGTCTGATCTATTGCCAGAGTGGAGCCAAAGGTGCAACGGGAAGCAGAGGCCTCTCGTATTTGACATTTAAGGCCGAAGGATGATTCATATAAGAGAATTGACTCACCTCATTCTCGGTGAACTTATAAATAAGAAATAATGTGCGCGGGTCAGAATGAGTCAAATAAGGGCGCAAAGGCCACTCTGGCTTATTTATTTATTTTATAAAAAAATATTTATATAATAATAAGGCAACTTGTAGGTGGGAGTGCCAGTTGGGGTAAGCTGCCTCTTTACGCAGTCTGGGGGGCAAGGGGGGTTTTGGTCGAGGTCCTGCAATGCTTCCATGGCCTGTGCTTGGGAAGGGAAGTGTTGCAGGTGATTTTCGTGCAGAATGGGGGAAAGGGGGAGCGTCATGGATGGTTGGAAAACGTTTTACAAGTATGTATGGAGGAGGTGTGTGTTGAGGGGTTGCATGCATTCACGGTGGAAGACCATTGTGGTAGTGCAGGGGTACGATGTGGAGTGGAAGGAGAGGGCTGTGGGGCGGATTGGAAGGACAGAGGGGAATGTAGGTGTGGCTATTGGCAAGGGGTTGTGGAAGTTTTCGGTCGAGGGTTGGAAAACATTTTGCAAATATGTACAGAGGAGGGTGGATAGGGAGTGTTGAGGGGTTGGATGCATTCAGGGTGGAAGATCATTGTGGTAGTGCATTGGTACAATGGCCGGAGGGGAAGGCTAGAGGGGAATCTAGGTGTGGCTGCTGGCGAGGGGATGGAGGGAGTTTCCAGTCATCACACAAAAGGGTGCTCTTTTCTTTCTGGCCATCTCTGCACTCTCGCTCCCTGTTCCCCATCTTGTTATGCTGTGTCTGGAGACATATTGTCTTTGAATCGAAAGCCCATCGGAATTAGTTGTGAGACAGCGCACCGTAAAAATAGGAGCAAATTGTTGTGAAAATAGAAAAAGATCTCTGGTTTAAACCCAAGGTGAGGTTATGGGCTTGCATCTGTCCATGCATACTGGCCGACAGACCTGAAATAGGCCAGAAGTGTCAGTTAGTTGGTGTCTTCTTTCACATGACTGTCTTGTATTGTTTTCCAGTCTACCAGTGAGAGTTAGTGTTTAGGGTTGGCCTACGGCATGGCGGGATGCATATTGGCTCTTCTTGTTATCCCTCGCACCTCACTCTTGCCCCTTACTGTATAGGGAAAGTGCCTGTAAAGCGGGGTCTGAAAAGGCTGTCAGCAGTTGGGCAGTTGATAATGGTCGAAGTCACTTCCACATTTACATCCTGTATTGTTTTTGCAGGCCTGTGCACAGACTTAAGGGTTTAGGGTTTTGGGGCCATGCATGTTTACTTTTGTGAGTCTTCGCTGCTTTGTCCCTGATATTTTATGTTTGTTGATCCTGCCTGCACTCATCCCTAATATCTGATCACTTGACTTAGACGGGATTGATATGGCCTGGCTCTATGTTGCTCATAAATGAGAGAGGGCAACTCGTCCCCACTGGAGTGGCAGTTTGCATACCCACCACTGTGGCTCAGGACAGAAATTGAGGTGCAACTAACTGGTTCCTTTGGACCTATGGCTTTCTTGATGTAAACAAGGCACTCTACCAACCGGTCCACTGGCCAATTTTGTTGTTATTTCCAGTTTGAATGAAGCGCTGGACTTCCATTCATAAGCAAACACCCACATTAGAATAAGTAAAAGGCCATCATAGCTGTGTTAGTCCCTGGGCGGCCTGGCTGGGGGAAGGTCTCCCGGGTACCCTCCCGGGCGATCTCAGCGCATAACATTTAAAAATAAAATAAAAAAAGGGGAAAAAAAAATCCGAAAAAATAAATTTTGTGTAAAATTGCAATACAAAGTTACAAACCACTTTTGGCTGAGGGCCACCTCGAAATTCCTTGTTAATTTTAAGATAAAGAATAAATGAGAAAACATGAGTCCAAATGTACCCTTTTAACCCTTTAGTCACTGTTAATACGCCCCAAACTCCGCCTGGATGACCCATCACCAAAACCGGAGTTAAGAACGGATTCTGACTACTTAGGCCAAGCACAGTCCTGGACTGCGCTTGGCCTGAAGTCCTCTTTTTTTTTTTCCAGATCGTTGCCTCTTTTTTTATCCGTCTGGCTTTCCCAGGTACTTAGGCCAAGCGCAGTCCTGGACTGCGCTTGGCCTGAAGTCTTTTTTTTTTCCAGATCGTTGCCTCTTTTTTTATCCGTCTGGCTTTCCGGGGTCAACCCCCCTCTGCCCAACTGGCCCGGGCGTGCGTGGTCGGCCGTGCCAGGCCGGGCGGCGGCCCAACATAGCATCATAGACCAAAGTCTGAGCAATCGTAGTGCATTGAACATAGCTGTGCAAGGAAACAAGAGATTGGATCAAACTTGAGGGAACAGAAGGTGGCAGTTCACCCTTCTGCAGTGCAGGAGGAAATGGGATGTGAGATGTATGTTAACCTGACGGTAAATGTAGGCCTTGTATGCAGGTGTCTGATGCAACTTCGTGCTTGGTTCGGCTTGTTCTTCCCTCTCTTCGTCTTGCAATCATTGCCAACACTTCAAAGTTAAGACCTATCTTGTGTACACAGGTGGGCTAAGGTTGAACTTCAAAGTTTGGACTGATTGGTCGAAGGTGTGGGTCTGTATTGTAAAGCTAACTGCGAAAGAATCCTGTTTTTCTCTGTGGTACTAGGGGATGCATACAAGGATGGCAACTGCCCCCTCTTTGTGTACGCGTTTCATGCAGGATTTAAGGATGCTGGCCTTCAGCGAATCTACAGGATTGAAGTAAGTTGAGAGTGAATCACTTCAGGTGCAAGAAACTCTGGGTATGGGGAGGGGTTCATTGCCGCGGTTCTTTTTATGATAGACGTGTGGCAATAGTCTGTTTGCCTCTCTTCGCTACCCTCCTATTGCAACTGATGTTTCTGTTAAACCACCAGTACACCTGAGGGTGGCAAAACCGTCAGCGGCACACTTTTTTTCTTTTTTGGCTGGCACTCTCAGCCGTTGTGGTCCGGTGGCCTCAAGCCTCCAATTTTAGGAATGAGGCATGGAACTTTTGCAGTTGCCTGGGACTGTGTGCTGGTGGTTTAAAAGAGGATCAAGAACGGACAATAAGGACATAGTGGGTGTCAGTCTTGTGCTCGGGATCACACTTGAAGTTGGATGTAGTTGGATGCCCTGGGTACTTCTCATGGCTAATCATGGATATAATGAATGCTTGAAAAACCTTGGTACCCAAGTATTCACGCTCCCTCTCTCCTTGACCGCTTATATTTCCTCCTTTCATCTCTTTGTTACTCCCTAAGTGCAACTCACCCCAGTATATCTTTGAACCTCCTTCCTCCCTTGCTTGTCAGCTTCCCCCTTCCATTACTACTATCCTGCTATGCTTACTCCAAACATCTGCCCAGCCGTAGAAATCTCCAAGGGCCTGTGTTCATACACCTTCCCAACTCCATTATGGACAGCTGTCCTTAGTCTCTGCAATGACCTGCACAGTTGTAGTCTGAGATTTCTGAAGATTCAGGCAAGGAAGAGTCGCTCCACAGTTCCACGCACGCATGACGAATGAAGGAGATGAGTCTGCTGACTGTCAAAATATAGGAAGTCCAAAAGCCAACTGCAAGGAAAATGAGCGATTGCGAACTTCAGAAATCAAACAGCATCATACCATACTTGCGGCGCACCTGTGGGGTGCGCCATGCGGTGCGGGGCGCGGGGCGCCAGGCGCCCATGAGCGATGAGCGCGCACGTGCGAACCGCGTGCACTGTGCGCACATGGGCAGTGCGCAGGGGTACTCGTGACGGGGCGCCATGCGCGCGCACTGCGGAATGTGCCCCCTTTTTCTTTTTTCTTTTGTGTGTGTGTGTGTGTTAGGAGGCCCGTTGTGTTTTCTTTTTGGTATTGTGTTTCACCAACTTTCACGGGAAGGGCGGCCCGTTGGTGTTTTCGTCCATAAAAGAAAAGAAGTCCTGATGTCAGCGAAGATGTGGGCCTCGCTCCACTATTCACGACATGTGCAAATGGAGAATGGAAGATACACCGCCATGTCTTTTGTGCATGTGGCGAGTAGTGGAGCGAAGCCCTTTAACGGGCATTTGAGGTTGGGCCTCGCTCCACTACACACCACATGCACAAAAGACAAAAAATATGGTGGTGTATCTTCCCATGTTCTAGCGGAAGATTCATTCCAAACATGCACATGGCGTGAGTAGCGGAGCGAGGCCCTATAACGGCCATAACACTCAGGCCTGTATTTCAACAGTTGAAGGCCCGTTGGAATCTGACAGATGGCCAGTGAAGAGACAAAAACTTTTGTCGATGTATCTTTCCATGTTCTAGGGGCGATTCATTATGCACATTTCGTGATTGATGGAACGGGGCCCTTATCTGTCCCATTCTGGCAGAGGTAGTTGGAAACAACATGCCCTCACCACGGATTCTGGCGGCAGGTGAGGCCTTCGCTTCAGAGCTCACCTCACCATGACTGTACGGAACTTGAAAGGGCGGGTGTATATTTCCACGTTATTGCTTTGGGCACATTCCCGTGTTGCACTTACGAATGTTCTTTGTTCCCTTTTTTTTTATAGCAAATTGCCAAAGGGAAAAGGCCTTTCTGTTTTGTTGTTTTCTATTTCTAGAAATACTGAGAGCAAATCGACCGTTCCACAGAGCAGGACATTTCCTCATCATGATTGTGTCCGGCTGCTGAAACGACTCGCATACGTAGAATAAGGAACTCGTGAAACACAACACAGTTTCTGGGGCAGAGCGCGGGCACAAAAGAAAATTCCACGGCCCATCTGCTATTTTTTCCTGGGCCGGGGAAACTTCGATTTAGCTCCCTCCTGACTTTTTTTTTTTTTTGGTCGACCTCGATTTTTGCCCTTGCGGCGCACCATGTGCGCAATGCGCAGTGCGCCGCATGTGCGCAAGTGGTTGCGCACGTGATGCGCCGCAAGTATGCATCATACACATGAGACCAGATAGTCGTGACCTCGAACCAATAGCAGAATTGCAGCAGGAGTTTCACCGAATAAGAGCACAGCAAAAGCTCATAATTGACAATGCTGGAATACTATCATTGTCATCAACGAAGAACCAATGTCGATATCCTATCTGGCGCTCGGCGCCCAGACTACAGATGGCAGATCCTATCTAGCCTAATCTACAATGCCGCCGATGACATCCACAGCTCCCCGAAGTACGAGCAGATCTCGGCCAATGCCGTACGCTTCAAGCACCAGGTACGTCTCTCGTATCACTCACAACCTCGTTCCCCAACTCACAGATGCCACATGCACCCAAGGACCACCATGCGCCCCATCCAGGATACAGCAGCACAGCTCAGCAGTGACTGCCTGCTCCTTCCAGCTCGCCCGTGAGCGAGTGAGCGCTGGCCAGCGGTAGCGCAGCAGCGCTTGCGCAGCATGCAGCCAGTGCCCGAATGCCCAATGCGTGTGCAGGCCCTTTCCTAAATGGAAATGGCCTGGCTGCGCTGGGCCCCTGCCCAGAAGCTTCCGGTAGGCTCAGAGAGGCTGAGCCCCAGACCAAACGGATCAGGCCCAAGGCCTGTGAAAGTTACCCGTGCCCAACTGCCCGCAGCCTGAGTTGGGTCCATGCTGCGTATCTCGCCCAGGGCCTGACTCAGATGCATTTGATAAAGGAGGCCAGGGCCTGGGCACTTTCAACCAACTGGCGCTGCGCAATTGCCTGAATTTTCCGCCAGTTGCGAAGTAGTCCAAAATAGGCCTCTTGTCTTTTGTCGAGCCTGCCTTCACTTAGGGCGGCCGACACTGTTGCAAATAGGGGCCCAGTAGGGCTTATCCACGCCTTGTGCCTCGCATTCCCTCCTCCATACTTCGCTAGTCCTCTGAGAAGTTTAGTCAATCTGGTGCTTTCCTTTCTGCAGTCACTTCTCGTAGTGGGCGACAACCTGTGGAGCAGTCTGCATCAGTTCCTCCCGTGTAAACCATCTATCCAGTGTGATGTCTGAACTGAACGCGATACTGCAGCTTCGGTTTTGGAGGACGTCCTCTGCCTGTCGGTCTTGGAACTGGCATCTCCCTGTGATCAACGATGTCGACCTCCCCATCCATGGTTGGAGGCAGCATAGAGCGACGAGAGGGAAACTGATCTGTTTCTTCGAACGGTGCAAGCTTAGAGGCGTGAAAAGCAGGGTAAGTTCGTAAGTGACCAGGGATGCGAATAACGTATGATGGTCCATCCGGTTCATCTCCTATGACATCTAGGACCTCCCATGGTCCAAAGTACTGTGGCATGAGCTTGCGGGAGATCCCGTGCTCCTGTCCCAGTTCTGAGGACTTGACCCAGACTCTCTCCCCTACCTGAAATGTAGATGGGCGGCGGTGCTTGTTCTCTGACTCTATCATCGCCGCCTGTGCCTTATCCATCTGTTCAACAGCTCTCTGACTCTATCATCGCCGCCTGTGCCTTATCCATCTGTTCAACAGCCTGCTGCATCAGGTGCTCATATTGATATGCGAACTCTTAAGGTTCCTGGTGCAGCAGAAGGCTGGTTCTCAGGTAGTAGGAAATTCAAGTTCAGTCTAGGCTTGAATGTCAGTAGCAGGCTGTTCTGGCTCACTCCAGTTGCGCTGTTCACAACATTATTGTACAGGCTGGCGATGAGAGCAAGTTTCTCATCCCAGTCTACCTGATTAGGCTTGATGTAGTGCCTCAGCAGGTGTTGTACAGTGCAGTTTAACTGCTCTGCTTGCCCATTCGCTTCTGGATGGTTCCCTGATGTCATCTGCAGCTGCGGCCTTCCACAATTCACTAGTAAATCGCACATCACGGTCACTGACTATAGACTTTGGCAATCCAAAATCTCTGACTCAGTTCTCTTTGAACAGTTTAATCACATACTCTGTTTTAGCTGTTGCTGACATTGCGACTAACCTAGCGTACTTGCTAAATCTATCCACGATGACATAGATGTAACACATTCCACTCTTGCTGGTGACCAGCGTATCCATGAAGTCCACGGACAAACTCTCACCAGACCTTTCCACGAGGAGCCTGTGTACGTGGCTTGTCTCTCTGACAGACCTGACAAGTCTCCGCATACAGCTTTGCTTCTTTCATCATAGTGGGCCACCAGAACCTCTGCAGCAGATTGGCTGCTTTTTATAGCCAAAATATTTGGTGGCATCATGACATTCTCCTAGAAACAAACTACGTAAAGACTCTCTATCTGGCACACACAGACGTTTATTCCCTGCCTTCTCAAGGAACAGCAGACCGTTGACCAGCTCAAACTCGGCAGAAGTCACCTTGTCCTTCGCCTCGAGTCTGCGTATGATCTCGGACATAAACTGGTCCTCGCGATAGGCTTCCACCAAAGAGCGAGTGACATCACCCGCAAGTCCGAACTCAGTAATCAGCGCACCAAAGAAATCAGGCCTACATGATAAGGCATCAAGGCATTGGAGAGCACTGGCTGGGTTCTCGTCCATTTCAGTGTCTGATGATCAGTCCCGACGATGAAGAACCTCCCAAGGAGGTAATGTCTCCAATGGGTCAGTGCCTTGTGAATCGCGTAGAGCTCCTTCTCATAGGTGGACTTAGCCAACTTCTGAGAGGGCATCTTTTTGGACATGTACTCGACTTGCCTCAACTTTGGGCCCTCCTGCTGCGCGAGCATGGCGCCTATGCCATATTGGCTAGCATCCGTGGTTACTATAAACGGCTTGTCAGGATCAGGAAGTTTCAACACATGCTTCAAATGTCCGAAAGCAGCCTCGCACATGTCTGTCCA